ACAAGTTAAGGAAGTTGTAGCAACTGGTGAAAAATGAAGTAAAGCTCAAGCAGAAGACATAAAAGAAAAAAACAAGATGAGTATGGTGCGGAGAAGGGGTAAGTGTTTTAAGGATGGTGGTGGTGGTTATCGCCCACCACCTGTCGTCGTCACTCTAGTTAAAATTCACGCACATGTGAAAACTTCGTGTTTTGATCGCTTTATATTTATTTAGCCAATCAATATCTGATTGGATTGATGTGGAAGAGTTATTTGGAATCCTTAAAAGGATTCACCCACAACAACCGTCGGTCCCATTAAGGACCAAAGAGTTATTTGAGAATTTAAAAATTTTATGAGGTTATAATCAACATCAATTTTTTAACTAATTTTCCATTTATCGCTTTACATTTTTATAATTAACATGTTTATATGTAATTTTTTAAAAGAATAATGGTGGTTATGGCAGAGTATTCATTGGAAGTATGTATATTTATCTTTGAAATTGGCTTTTACTAAAAAATTTTTTGAAAAAAAAAAATATTCATTTGGATTATAATTTAAAGATCTAGACAACAACAACAACAACAATAACAATAATAGCAACAACAACAACAATAGCAACAACAACAATAGCAATAATAGCAACAACAACAACAACAATGATAATAATGATGTAAGTATCAGTTTTTTAACTTTATTTTTTCAATTTATATGATCTTTTAAAAGAATGATGATCAAGATAACCAAATAAATAATTTATTTTTGTTTTTTTGTCAATTTATATGTTTGTTTTTTAAAAATCTTACAGAGATATAACCTGCGAGTCAGGGTACCAACTAATTATAGCATTGGCTCATACAGAAAACGTTGTCATCGAAGTGTAAGTATATACTGAAACATTAATAGTAGACATAACATTTTATTTACTTATATTTATAGGGACCGTCATCATCATCATCAACAATATCACCACAACCACAACCACAATTTTTTTTTAATGACGAGGTATATATAATATAAACATAATTATATTTTAAATATACAATAAAAAAGAAGACTACATTGTGCATTAATTCTATGATAAAAAAATCTGTTTTAATGTTTTAGTATAATCAACAATTTTCTTCAATTGTTTTTTTTAGAAATAACAATAATT